AGGTCTGCCACGCCATGTGGGTAGTAGCTCCCTGGCCGGGGATCGAACACGTGCCGCAGTGGCTGCAGACAGCTTCATAGGTTGTGTCTTAATCCCTTGTGCCACCAGGGAGGCCCAGCAGCCATTGTTTTGAGCACCCGGAACTTTTCAGGTGGCTCAGACCGGCTGTGCCCATGCAGGACTGAGACCCACAGACCCCTGACCGCTGGCCGCAGGGCAGGCACAGAGTGCGGGTGGAGCCAGGTCCGTGAAGCTGAGAAGCCTCCACGATCCTTCACCACCGGAAGGCCCCCGTTGGAGGCCAGCTGGCTCACGCTCCGTCGGAGCAGAGCCGGGCCTTGCTCTGGGGAAGCCGCCCTGAAGGGCCCGGCTGCCCTGCCTGTCTGGGGCTGCTCGCACTGCGGGCCACACGATAGGAAGGAGAAGCCAGCCCTGGGGAGAGGCAGAGGACGTCCCTTAACAGTGACCCGGGAAGCGGGACTGCAGCCCGCGCGGCCGCAGCGTGGAGAGGCAGGGCTGGGCGCCCGGGCCCTGAGAGGAGATCTCGTTTTACTAAGCGCCGTCTTCTGTGCGAGGAAGGGCTCGCAGGTCTTGAAACAGACGTTCACCTACAGAGATGCAAGGTGGGGTGTTGCTCCCTGGAAACGCCGGCCGAGGAGCCACAGTCTCTGCAGCCCCCTCGGACGCAGGAGGGGACGCAGGTCCCGGGGTACAGGTGCGTCGGGCGGAGCTTTGTCATCACGGGGCCTCCTCACTGGCCCCCTCTGCGGGCGGGTGCTCCGCACTCCGATTCGGGCAGCACGTTCCGAGCCGTCGGCCGCTCTTTCGAGAAGCTGTCTTAGTGGCAAGTGGCCCCTGTCCACTGAGATCACCCTGCTCCGAACCCTTGACCTTGGCTGAGCTCACGGAGTTGAGGGGGACCCCAGACAACCCTCAGCTCACAGGTGAGGACTCGAGACTCAGGTGAGCTGAGAACCCGAGTCGGAGGCTTCAGACCGGGAGGGAGGGGCCTGCTGACCAAGTGGCTTTCTCCGGGCTAGAGGACCTCCCGCCTGGCGCGGAGCGCCCCCAGGAGGGGCGGGTGGAGGGGTCTGCACCTCGGTCCCCGGCCCCCAGGCCTGGCTTGCTGGTCAGATGCACTGACCCGGTGCAGCCCTGTCCTCGCAGGGGACAGGCCCAGCCAGCATGGGCGCAGGCTGCGTGCTGACCCGGGGACGGGGCGCGTTTCCAGTGCCTGCCTGGGGCTCAGGGCGTGGACACCTGCCTGGGAGCCTCTGTCTTAGGCGCCCGGGTTGGGCTCTCCCCGTGGCTGGGACCCTCCCGCTGTGTCTCTGCGCCTGGCCAGATGGCGGAGGTTGGGGGCCGCTGGCGCCGGTGACCCCCCGCGATGTGCTGCAGCCCTGAGGGCGTGGCCAGCGTGGGATGTAGTGTAGCTTTTCCATGACACATAATAATAGGGTGGAGGGCGTGGGGTTTTTTTTTTAAAAACCATCCTTGATCTGTGAGGCTTATGGAGAAGCCCCCGCCCGCCCCTGGCTGGGCGTGGCCCGTGTCAGGCCCCAGCCGCCCTCCCGGCTCGGCGCCCCCCTCCGGAGCCTGGCCGCTGCCCTCCCGCCCGGCCGGACCTTCGTTCTGACACGCAGAGCGGGCGGGCGAGCGGCACCTCAGCCGGCCCCCGCGTGAGGCTCCCGAATACCCAGCCCGCGGCTATCAGTCATCTCCCAATGAAAGTTCAATTTCATTATGTGTGGCTCGTCCTTCTAAATCCGACTCCTTGATGTGTATTTAAATGTCATCGTCATGACCTCCCAGGGGCGCGTATCAGCTGCTCAAAGGCTGAATCACACGCGATGGTATTTTAAAATCCAGCGCTTTTTTATAGACTTCAGAAATCACAGCACCTTTTTTTAGCGCCAACTCTTGACTATTATTGTCACATTTAGCCATAAAATTAAACATGAAAATTGGCATTCGATAGTATTAATTCTATTCGACGCCAACGCACCGACGTTGCGGTGCGTGAGCAGAGTCTGCGGGGAGCAGAGTCGCGTGGTGGCGGGTCCTGTGTGGGGAGGCGGCCTTGCGGCACCGGCCGTGCGGACCTGCCCCCACCTCAGCTCCCGCTCGGGCCCTGGCGTCTCCCCGCCCTCAGCACCCACCTGGACCTGGGGCCGGGGGCGCGGCAGCAGGGTCTGCTTACAGAGGCGGACTTGTTCGGGGACAGACATATCTTAGTGACTTTGCACAAGCCCGGCTGGGGTGTCCGCCAGGTGAAGGAGGCGACACGGTGCTGGGCACGGTGAGGCCCCTACACCGAGCGGTGGCTGCGCAGCCCAGGCATGGGTATCTGAGGCCCGCACGGCAGCCAAGCCTCTGGAGCGGCCTGCGTCGTGGCCTCTGCTCCAGGTCTGGAGAGGGTGCGGGGCCTTGGTCACGCGTGTGGGCCGGGCCCGCCTCCCTCGGGGCTCCCAGTCCAGTCCCTTTAACGAAGCGGGGGGCATGAGCCACAAACAACCTCCTTTAGGGAGCTGCCTGGCGTGGGGTGGCTGAGCAGGGCGCCTCTCCCCTCTGCTCATCAGGAGAGCCTGGCGCTTGCACCCGCAGGCCCGGAAAGGTGAAAGTTATTAGTTCCTCCGGTGACCAGGCGATGAGCTGACACGGCCTCTGCAGGGGCCCCGGGAAATACTCTGACCTTTCGTTTGAAGGGAGCACTGGTCTGCTTGGCTCCCGCGAGGTGGGGGGGCCGGAAGAGCTCTCCTGGGTGGGAAATTAGAGGCGTCCTTGCCGCCCTTGTAGACGGGGCACACAGGGCCGAAGATCAGCGGCTGGCGGACTCCTGGAAGATGCCCGCCTGGGGAGGAGCTCAGGCCTGCGCGTTCAGACGCGGGTCGCGGCTCCTCCTTTTGCCAGCAAAATGAAGACTTGATCCTGGGGGGCGCGGGCGCGGGCGCAGGGCGGGCACCGCCCCCAGGTGTGCCTGGGGGATCCTCCGCGCTCACCTCCCAGCGCCGCTGTTTTCAGCCTTCGGGTCGGCAATTCCGCGTCTGAAACGGAGCCTGGCGTCACGGACATGTCTGTTTTGGCTTTTTTCAACCTTTTTTTTTTTTTAAAACAAACCCCCGAGTTTGGACTCGTCGAGGGATTCTTAAGTGCATTGCGCTCAGTCACGTGTGGGGTGTTTTGCAGACATCTCCGTGCTGGGAAAGCGTTTCTGGGAAAGGGAGGGACTTACAGGGGGTTTAGAGCGGGCGCGTGCGGTCGGCCTTGGGTGTGGCCCGCGCGGCTCTGCAAAGTGATTCAAACTGTGTTAATGTTTAAATGCCTAGAAAAGAGACCAGAGTCGAGATGCTAACAGAATACAAGATTCTGAGTGCCTTCAGCCCTTTTTTATGTTCCTCTGCTTCCCTGATGTTGTACAGCTCCGTCCACTCTGTCCTGGCGGGGAGGAGTCCTGTGGTTTTCACATGCTTGTTGCTCAAGGAGTCCTGGGCTCTGCTCCCGTGGGCGTGCGGGGCGTCCTGGGCTCTGTTCCCGCGGGCGTGCGGGGTGTCCTGGGCTCTGCTAATGCTGGTGTGCGAGGTACCCTGGGCCAGCTGGCCAGGCCGTTCCCTGCTGTAGACTGAGGGTGTGTGGACACTCGTGATCTCTCTAGCTGTCGTGGCTACAGGGAGTTTGATCTTGTCGTGAGCCCCCAGCCCCCCGCAGAGCTCCCTGTCTGTCACCTGCATGTAAAGGCCACACCTCCAGGCCAAGAAGCGTGTGCTGGGCTGGGCTGGGCTGAGGATTTTGGCCAAAGCACAGCCCATGGGGTCATACAGATGTCAGTCATTGGCCTCACTGTGGTTCTCAGTTGTTGCCAGTGCCTGGGGGTCCGACGTGAAGACAGCTCCCCTCTTCCAGGGAGGGGAGGTTTCCAGCACCCGCGGGCTGCAGCCCTGGCCTAAGTGAACATCAGGTCGGGATGTGAAGGCCCGGGCGGGGGCAAGGCTGGCCCTGTCTGGTTGTGGAGACGAGGGCTGGGTCAGGCGAGGGGCCCAGGGAAGCTCTGAGATCACCATCCACCAGCTCAGTGGCCCCGGGACAGCAGCGTGCGGGGCTTACTCTAGACCTGGGAGGCGGGGTTCCCTGCCCGGAGGCTCTGCCCTAGGGAGCTGAGTTCCAGGGGGACCGATAGACAATTAACAGATCTAAAAATAAGGATTTACAGCTCATGACAAATGCTATGACAGAAATAGACTGGAGGCTGCAGGGGCAATGGGTGAGGGGAGGCGAGGGGGCTGGGAATCCGGGGGATCTCGGGGAAGCTCCGACCTAGAGGATGAAGGGGCCCAGCTGGTTCACGGGCCAGTGACTTCCCAGCACAGGGAGCAGTGTGTGTGCAGGCTGAGGCAGGAGGAGCCTGCTGTCTTCTAGAAACTGCTGGAAGTCAAGAGGGCTGGGCATTGGTCAATAAGGGGGTGCAGGTTTTGTGGAGGCTGTGATACTTGAGCAGAAACCGAGGGTGGATGGACATAGCTTAAAACACAAGTGGGCTCCTGGCACACGCTGGCAGGAGACGGGGTGCTAGAGCGGCAGGGGCCTGGCCCCTGTGAGCAGGACGCTCCTGGGTGAGGCCGAAGGGCGGGATGGCAGGGAGGGCTTGGATGCCGAGTTGGGGATTTGCAGGGGCTTGGGGATCTGCAGGGCTCAGCCATTGTCCATTGTCGCACTCTGGGATCCTCCCCGCTGGGCAGGGTCAGCTCCCGAGTCTAGGCTTGGGATGCCGCGCCCCTCCCAGGCTGCACTCTGGCCAGGTCTTCATTTCTGAGCCACGAGTTGAACCAGCCCTGAAGGCAGCGCTACCCTGGGACTCTGTTATTTCATTTTCTCGGGATGAATCCGTTATGAATTACTGACGTTAATGATTCATTATCCAGCCTCACGCTGGCATGTGCCAACTCTCCCACAGGCAGCAGAAGAAATTGCCCAATTGATTAATTCTCTGCTGTTTCTCCTCCTAGAATGGCGATTCAAGTGGACAAGTTCAACTTTGAGAGTATCCCCGAGTCCCCCGGGGAGAAGGGGCAGTTTGCAAACTCAAAGCAGCTGGAAGCCGCGCGGCAGGAGGCCCGGGGCCTGGAGATCAACAACAGGCTGGGGCTCCGCTGGACCATCATATCCTTTCTTTCAGACACCCACTGGCCCCAGGTCGGGGCCATGGCTCTGGGACTGGCCAGTGCACCAGCATCCCCCCGACACCTGCCACCCCAGAGGCCCTACCTGGTGCAGGCGATTCCGGGGGGCATGGGCCTGCTGGGGCAGGCAGAGCCTGTGTCTCGGGAGCACGTGTTTCTTGCCAGGGTTGAGATTCATCAGCGACAGACCTAAGGGCCACCTATGGGCACTGGGCTTGAGTGTCACAGACTGATGGCTGAAATAGGATGGCCTGGAAATGGAAATTGGGGGCACCACTTGCGAGGCCTGCAGATGCTGTCCTACAAGGCTGAAGGGTCAGAGGACAGTGTGGTGGGGTGTTTGGTCAGATTGCTGGCCCCCTGGACTTCAGCTCGGTGCCCAGCTTGTGGTTAGTGCAGGGGCTGTTTGTCGAGGCACTAGAGAGGCTGAGGTGCAGGACGAGGTAAGAATCGCCCCCGTCTCGCGCCTCGGGCTGAGTCAATGGACCCAGAGGAAATCGAGGCTCTTGCAGCGGAAGGCTCATGCCTGTGCCCACCCTTGGCCTGGTCAGCGAGCCCCCCTTGCTGTGCTGGGCCTTGAGATGCTCTGGCTAAGGGGAAGGACAGACAGAGCAAGGGACACTTGGGGTGCAGCCTGGAAGGGCAGACAGGCGCTTCCTATGGAGAGGCTGGCGAGGGTGCAGTGCCTCGGCACGTCCCAGGGACTGCAAAGCAGCAACCCCCAACTCCAGGGGACGCTGGAGGCAGGGGCGGCAGATGGGGCTCTCAGTCCTGCCGGGGAGACAGGCGGGCTGAGACGACGCGTACAAAAACCTTTGTGCACGACAAGGCTCTGCCCAGATGTGCTGGTGGCTGCCCGTGACATGAGGCCAGTCCTGGCGCCCTCGCCTGCCCTTCTCTAAACCGGCTCTCGCCAGAGTCGCACCACCCTGCCACCACCAGCACAGGCTGTGGGCTCAGCAGGTCCTTTGGGGTGAACAGGGGTGTGGACAGCAGAGCGAGGGGCCCGTGGAGGTGGTGGGTGGATCCTCGCGCTCACCCTTCCCAGCCACGGGGCCTTGGCGAAGTTACTTGGCAACCCTGAAGCCCAACGTTGTGAGGACTGTCTGTGAGGACCTGTAGGTAACTCCCACAAGGTGCCCTCTGAGTGCCTGCTGTGTGCCAGGCACAGTGCTGGGGACCAGGCCACCACTCCTTGCTCTCCAGGACTTGGCGCTGAGTCTTCTGAGTTCTTCCATCAGACGGCAGCACAAGCAGTGAGGCTGATGGAGGAGCGGCTGCCGCTGGCTGGCCTGCAGGCAGGGGAGCTGGAGCAAGTTCGAAAAGCCAGGGTCAGCCCCACACCCCGAGCTCCGAGGCTGGAGGCCTAGTGAGCTCTGGGGACTCCAGGTAACCCAGCTAGCAGAACCTCTGAGGCAGGCAACGGCTAGCGTGGAGGGGCTTGAGGGGATTTTGTGGCCTCTCAGGAGGGAGACAGAACCTGCCTTGCGAGGCTCAGAGGCAGGGTGAGTGGGCCAACCTGATCTGGGAACAAGATTTCTCGAGCTTGGACACACAGGGTGGTCAGTCTTTGCTCGTGGTTGTGGTCTGGACCAGCAAAGCCTCTGCAGCACACCTGCCTCCTGAGCGAGGGGCAGCAGGGGCACTCGGGGCCAGAGGCCCACTGACCACGTGGGAGCCCAGCACTGCCTCCCAGGGGACTAGAAAGGGCTTGAGGGGAGGCCGCTCTTCAGCACCACGGAGAGCTCCGGGCGGCGGCCCGGGCAGGAGGCGGGTGTCCCGTTCTGGCTCCAGGCCTCCTGTGGGGAACTGGCATGTTGACAGCAACGTGTGGGAGAGCGAGGGCCAGCTCAGCGGGCCTTGGTCCTACCACTCCCTGGCTGTTGAGCTTTCTTAGTCTCCTCACGGCACAGTGACGTTGACACAGAGAGGAAAACAGCCGTCCCCACGCCCGTAGGCCCACCATGCTCTCAGCTCTTAATGAAAACAGTGAGTGTTAAATGGAGACGGCGCATATTCGGCACTCACCGCAGGCGCGCTCACGGGAAATGTTCTTTCTGGTAGAACTAATGATAGGAATTATTGTCGCCGTCATCATCATTTTCAGACCTCGTACCGAAGTGCCGGGTCTGTGTCTGTAAGAGCCAGCGGCCGGCCAGCTCCGCCAGCATCCTGTCGCTGGTCGCTGCCCGTCCGCCGGCTCTGAGTCGCTGCTCCCAGACTCACGCCGACGCTGTCTCAGCAGCTTGTGGGGCTACGGGGGGGCCGGGGGGGTGCTGCTAGCAGGTAAGTGGCTTTATTAGTGCAGCTGTATAATTTTATGGCTCGTGCCCGAAAGGAAAGGCATACAGGAGCACGCTGCTGGAGGGCTTCCAAGGCCCCGGTGCCATTCAGCAACTTCGCGATTACTCACACGCCTCTCGCTCACCATTCCAGAGCCCCCGTCCTGCCGTGCTCCACCAGGCGCTTGTCTGCAAGCACCGGGGTGCCCTCTGCCTCCAAAGCTTGGCGTGATTTATTTTTAATTAGAGGGAGTAATATGCTACAGTCTGAAGTCTCAACTTCCTACAAGTGAAAATCACCCCTGGAGAGAATCCGGATCAGGAAGCGCAGAAGCGCATGTGGTCATCCCGATGTGTGGTCCGGAGCGCGGCTCTGACTGTCTGGTGCGGCCTGGCCCCTGGTGGTTGCCCATGCAGGATCAGCGAGCAGGTGCAGAATGGCTGCCCTCACCCCCAGGGAGGCTGGAGTCAGGCTGGGGCCCGCCAGATGTCTGCGCCCTCCCTGCACCAGGCAGGTGCTCCTCTTTTCCTTCAGAAAAGCTGGCCCTTCTTCCCTGATGACTCTCTTCCCGCCACGGTCCTCACCAGAACTAATTTAATATGGCGCATTGTGCATTAAAATAAGAATATTCGAATCTGTGGGTTGAAAGGAAGCAAAACAATCATCCCCTTGTCTTCCGCAGGAGCCCAGCAGCACACAGACTTTCCCAGACGCTGCCTCCCTCGCACCCAGCGTGCCCTCTGGGAAGGCTCAGGGCCTGGGCGTGAGCGGGCTGCCCCTCTCCGCGGGCTTGCCTGCGGTTTGCACAGGTCCCGTCTCCACGCCTGGGCTGGGAGGGAGCCAGAGCATCACACCTCTAGGGTACCTGCTGCATCCCACCGGGACGCCAGGGCCCTGGGCTCATTCTGGGTTCTGGGGAGAACAAGTGGTTCCCTGGAGGTCACGGTTCACAGTGGAGCCCATCCCCGCTTCCTGCCGTAACACAGGAGACAGGCCCCTCCAGTGGGCCAGCCCCTGCTCCCTGCGAGCCTGACCACCTGCCCAGGGCCTGAGGTGGGCTTCGAGGAGAAGCCCCCCTACGAGGGGGTGAGATGGGCAGGGCCAGCAATCCTGGAGAGAGAGGTGGCGCCCGTGCTGAGGCTGGGCCGGACGCCTCACCTGGAAGCCACACCGGCCTTGGCACAGCCCACTCGTGCCAGTCATCGCTGCGTGGGGGTGAAGCCAAACAACGGGAGACCAGACATGCCGGGCAGGTCATCTGGGATGCCCCAGAGCCTATGCAGCAGACACAGGCTCAGGGACGGCTTCCTGGAGGAGGTGGGTCCAAGTGGGGAAGCGAAGGATGAGCAGCCAGGAGGGCGAAGGGGGCGGGAGAAGCACCTCCAGGCAAAGAGCACAGCATGCGGGGCAGCGCAGGGTCGGGGGAAGCATCTCTAGGCAGAGAGTGCAGCATGCGGGGCGGCGCAGGGTCGGGAGTGCGCAGCTCTGTGAAAGCTGAGAGTCCAGACTAACTGCAGGCCCTAGCTGGAGGGGCGGGCTTCCTGAGTGCCCTCCCTGGAAGCTGTGGTTCCCCTCTGGGACCCGCTGCTCTTGGGGGCCCTCACGTCTGTGCAGCTCTCTGCAGCTGCTGGGCTGCACTGCGGTGGGGTGATGGCCTCGCTATGCCTAGACACCCCCATCGCACCAGCAGATGATCACCATGGGCCCTGGGCTTTGATCCTTCTGGCCCTGGTGCCCTTGGCTCCCAGCCTTGCCCCCTCACCTCTGTCTGCAGAGCATTAGTCCACACCACCGCCTGCAGGCCTGGCGAGCGCCTTGGCTCATTTCTGTGTCATCGTCCCCAGAATGTGAGCCTCACATCTGCAGGATCCGTCCTCCTCACCCCTGCCCGGCCCTGTCCACACGCCCTGTGCGTGGGATGCGGTTATCTTGCTACAGGAAGGAAGAAGGGGTCGCCCCACTCTCCATCACGGGAGAATGCCAGGGGTAGTCTGTTCTCCTCAGGCCAGTTCTGGCCACTCCTCACGTGGGCTGACGCGCTCCTGGAAAACTCTACATTTCAGTGGTAACAGGATGGTGGACAGCACTCACTTGGCGACTTTTAGCTGCCATCTCCCTGTGGGCTGTGGCTTCTAGAAGTGCCTGATGATGCGCGGCTGCAGCCTGTCCCTAGCCCTTCTTTCAGCAGGACCTGGGAGTGATGGGGATGTCAGCTGCAGCCCGAACACTGCACTTAGTCTGCGCTGGAGAAGGGAGCCAGGCTGCCGGCCCCGAGCCTCAGGCACAGGCTGTTGAGGGCCAGTGCTGGAGACTTCCAGTTTCTGCTTCTCCAAGGCTAATTTCTTCACCCAGCGCTGCCTGCTGCGAGACTTTGGCCCCTCCGTTGCGAGCTCTGCTAAGCGAGCCTCTCCGTAACGACACGTGTGACTACAGCGAGATGTGTGTGTGGCAGGACAGGCCCGGGAGCGCGTGACGCCACCGCGAGTCAAGAAACGCGTCTCGTGTCACTGGACGGGGCCAAGCTCGCAGGCTTCCTTGAGCAAAAACGGCCAGTTTTCCTTCTCACCCGGCAAGAACCGCTGTTGCATTGAGATGATCCCAGTGGATTAAATTACTAGATCAGGGCGAGGAGCAGACACATGCTGGGTCCCTCTGCCGGCTTCCCACACGCTAGTTCTTGTCTGGCTTTGTTGATGGGACAAACGCCAGCACGTTTTTGAGGCCGCGTTGTGACCTCACGGGACTGGCTCCCCCAGCAGGGCAGGATGGCCACGGAGGGGGAGCCTCACTGCCCTGAGAGCGTAGGCCTGGTCCTGGTTTATGGGGCCGGTCACCAGGGCAGGGTGGAGGGAGCAGGCAGGGTCTGATTCTCACAGCACCAGGAAGGGAACTGGCACCACCTTGGAGTCAAGGTCTTGGCCATAGGTTGGGCCCTCCATGGAGCAGTGGGGAGACACAGCCAGGGGCATGACTTCCGGCCCTCAGGTCTCTGTAGAAACTTCTAGCACTTCTGGCCCCGGGGCTTCGCTGGAACCGAGTTTTCCTTGACTGCACTCACCCTTCTCTGAAGCGCACGGGCGAGGCGAGCGTGGAAGGCCTCCTGAACCAGCTGGTGCTGGAGCACCTGCAGCTGGCGCCGCTGCAGTGGGGTGAGTACTGCCGGCGCCTCAGCCCGCGGGCCAGTTCTCCAGCCGCGCTGCGGGCGTCACTGATGGCGGGGCGGGGAGGCCTTCGCGGCGCTGCACCCACGTCGTTGCGCACCAGCGGAGCTTTGAGCGTACGTCAGCGTCTCCGGGAGCACCTTGTCCTGTGGCACGGGCTGGGAAAGGGCTTGTGCCCTCAGAGGGGTTGATGGGGGCCATGTTCCGCCATCTGTTGAGGCTCGGGACCGCGTCGTGTGGGCGGGTCGCGGGCGGAGATGCCAGGTCAGATCTGAGTGGTGGTATCGGTCGCTTCTGCTCCTGCCGCTCCCGCGGCCTGGACTTGGGGGGCTTTCCAGGTTTGCTCGCGGAAGAGTATTTCCTAACCCCCTTAACTTAGCTTGGCGTGCACCCCCGAGTGGTCACCCCCAGCATGGAGGCCGTGTGCCTGAACCCCTAGGAGCCCCGGGCGTGCCTTTCTGGGCAGCAGTCCCACACGTAGTTGTGAAGCAAACTAAATGTCGGAGTTTGTTGAAGGGAGAGGCTTGATGCTTCTCCGGGAGTGGCCTCACCCTGCCACCTGTTTTGGGTCAAATACAGTCAGTTAACATGTCTTTGTTTACCCCGGAAAGCACTGCAAATTAGCGTCTGGCCTCTTCTCCGCTTTGTTAATAAGCTTGATCTCCCCCTTTCTGAAGCTAGAGAAAGGAAAGGAGCCCCCTCTTGAAGCGCTGAGCATCCCCCCCTCGCCCCCAGCAGTTTGAGAGCACACTCTCCCCCTTGCCCCACGGGCGGCTGCGGACAGGCCCGGTCTCCTGGGGCGGCCTCCCCCTCGCTGGCCCAGCCCGGGAGGCAGGAAGGGTGGCGTTTCCTCAGGCGGGGTCTTCCCAAGGCTTCCCCCCGCCGCAGCTTTCCTGGGCTGGGGTGTCACGCGGTGTCGTGTCCTGGGTGCACCTGAGGAGGGTCAGGCACCAACCTGCTGCCCCAGGATGGGGACGGGCCCCAGTAATTCTGTCCCGTGGGAGTCCACACGCAGGGACGCGGCCTTCCCTGTGAGTGAGGGGCCATGGTGGGCACCGGCGCCTGGACGCTGAGAGCACAGCGACTCTGAGGGTGGGTCTCCCCTGCCCCCGTGTTCCTGTGGGCAGCCCCAGCCCCCGCACATGCCCACAGGCTGCTGGGGGCCCTGACTTGGGTGCGTGACCGAAGGGGCACCTAGGAGCAGAGACCAGGGAGAAGCTGGGAGCAGGATGAGGCTCCTGGTGCCCTGCAAGCCAGCTGCTGTCCGGCCACGAAGGACGCCCTCTGCGGGCGTGCTGTCAGCACAGTGTTAAGTAGGCGTGCGGGGAGAGGAAGGTTCTGGAACTGACGCAGCAAAGGTGCATGAGGGTCAGCCTCTGCTCCTGACTCGCCGCCTCGCTGTTCTGCTTGCCCCAGCCAGGCACAGTCATCAGGTGATGCCGGGTCCTCCCAGCCGCTGGCCCCGGAGCAGGGGCTACTCTCACCAGGGGCAAACGGGGAAACTGAGGCTCGGAGGCCAGCACTTGCCCAAGGCCTCAGGAGAGGTCAGTGCTGGGTCACCCCCTCGCAGCCTGGGCAGAAGCCCAGGTGGCAGGAGGACACCCAGGCGATTGCGAGTTTCAGACGAAGAAAAGGTTTCCAGTGTGACCACGGCCTTGCAGCTCGTGTTGCCCCTCTGGCGCGCACTGGGACACTCGGGGACGTGTGCAGTAGTGGGGAGGGGAGGGGAGCTCTGGGAAGTTAGAGCTGGGGAGGATGTTGGCTTGGCTCTGACGCCCATCAGCGCAGAAGAGTCCAGAAGCTGGGCAGGGTGGCCAGAGGCAGGAAGGCTGTGGGCTTGGATGTTGCGATGTGTGTGTTTGAGTCCCACTGGGCCTGTAGCACCCCACCTGCGTCTCCCGCGTCTGGTGAGAAGAGGGGGGACCAACTAGAGGGACCCTCAGGACGCCTACCCGGCTGTGGGCTCACAACCCTGCCCTGAGCACTGGCCATGGTCAGCCCTGGTCAGCGGGTTGGGGGTCACTTGCACTTTCCACCCAGGGTTTATTGGGGTGTCACCCCACTAAGTTGGGGAGTCCGCACTGGTGTCTGGAAGGGGTCTCTGCCCTGGCTTCTCGGGGGGACAGAAGCTGTGCCTGGGGATCACCCTGGGCCACAGCTGCGTCCCCACCTGCCCGCCCTGCCCTCCCCTGGCACAGGCCTCCTCCAGAAACGGCCGTGGCCTCTTCCTGTGTGGTGTGTCACGTGCCCTCTAGTACGTGCTAGGCCGCGTCCGATGAACACTTTCATACACAAGTTTTCGTTGGTTTTCTGATGATCCCAGCTTTCTGGTTTGGAGTTACAAAGTCGAAAGATGTGAACGTCTAAGGCTCTTGGGCTATTTTGTCAAGTGATTATGTGACTGTTGCTTGTGATGTGTGGACGGTGATTTTCTCATCCGAGTTGTGAGCACAGAGCTGCAAGGCAGGGCCGGGCAGGGCTGGGGGCTGACATGGGCCAGGCCCTTCTCGGGGCTTCGGCGTGCCTTGCAGAGAGCATGGAGTGGGGTGTGCTCGGTCCTACCTGGACCACCTGCAACAGCCACAGGAACAAGCGTCCTTAGATGTGTCGTGGGAGCACCGGTGGGTGAAAAGATGACAGAACTTGTCCCCAAGACCGCCACCCCTGCCTCTGGTCTGCTCCCGGGGGTCCAGAGTCCTCACCTCCACATGAGTGACCCTCTCAACTTGACCCCAACCGTGTTCCTCTCCTGCCTAAAAGGTTTCCTTGGCTCCCTGGGCCCCTGGCTGAGAAGGCCCCCTGAGAGCACCGTCATCTCCCTGTGCGCATCCCTCGCCCTCTACCACGGCCGCAGGGCCCGCGTGGCATGCAGCCTCCCCCTCCTCGACCCCCCCACCCCTGGCTGGGCTGCCTGTGCTCTCTTGTGCCTCCAGCCTCTGCAGGGCGCACCCTCAAGTGCCGCCTGTGGACGGCCCTGCTCCTGAGCGCCTAGGGGCTCATGAGAGTCGAGGGTAACACAGGGCCCGGCCTCGGATGCCTCCTCCCTGGGCGCCCAGCTCTGTGCGGTAACCCCACGCCTTGGGCACTGGCTGGCTAGTGACAGTGGCCTTGTCATTGGTGAGGCTGATGTGGAGGTTTCTGGTCTGGCCCTTGCGGCACTGGAATCAGCTTCCAGAATGGGATCCCCGGGCTTCAGGGGGCTTTGCGTGGAGCAGCCCTTGGGCCCACAGTGGCTAGGCTGCTCCCATCACCACTGGCTGAGGAGCCATGAGCAGGACTCTGGGTGCCCCATGCCACACCACCTGCCCCAGCACAGCTCCCAGGGTCAGCGTGCAGCCTGATGGCGCCAAGGTTGTGTCATGGGCCGGTGGGCTGCTGGGAGCCACGGCCTGAGCCGGTCTTGCTGGGCAGAGGCACGCTGGGGCACACCTCAGGCCTCCCTCCGGGCCTGGTGCCGCTCTCCCACGTGCCTGCTGCCCTCATCCTCTGGCCAAGCTTGGCTGGCCTCTTCCCCGTTCCTGGCACTGTGCTGGCTTGTGGGTGGAGCTGGTGTGGTGTCCACTGAAAGTGCAAGGACAAATGACCAGGCGGGGCTGCCTCTGGCCGCCCTGGCCCTTCCCCTGCCGCGGCAGGAGCTGCCACACCATCACGAGGAAGGAAGCGCAGCTCACTGCCACTGGGGCTGCGGCTTGCTGTCACCCACGTGCCTTTCCTATTTCTGGAAGCATGAACTTTATTATGCAGAAAGCCGCTTTGCTTACTAAGCAGGAGCAGGCTTCCCTGCAGTGAGAGGTCTCTGTGGGTCATTGGGATGGTGAGTGATACCAATCCCCGCTTCCGAAGAAGGACACCCAGGGTGGCCTGGACGCTGGGCATGGGGTGGCACGAAGGCGCCCTGTGCTGCCGGCGGGGCCTCAGGAGCCATGGGAGCCGGCAGGTGGCATGGTCGGGGCGGGCATCCGGCTCAGCCTTGGGTGGCTGGTCCGAGACAGTCACTCTCTGCACTGGGCCCAGTCCAGGCCTCTGGGGCAGGCGCGGGAAGATGAGGTTGCACTGCCCCCGCCCCGGGAGGCTCCAGGGCTGCGGGCTTGGCACTCACAGGGTGTTGAGGGTAGAGAATGTTCTCGGAGCCTTGTCTGGGGGTGAGTAGGGAGAATTCTTGGAAGAAGTAGGGGATGAGGCTAAAAATAGAGGCAGAATTCCAGAAGGCAAACACAAGGAAGCTATCTAGGTGGAGATGGCAGATGAGCCCCAGCCGAGGGGGACCGGGCGAGGTTGCTTAAGGGGCGAGTGTCCCAGCCCCCAGCTGGGCAGAGCTCCCTGGCTCTGGCCTTGGCGAAGTTCAGAGTGCCTGCCCAGTGGCAGGACTCCGCGGGTGCCCCTGGTGACCACAGGAATGTGACCTCCCCCCCCACAGTAGCATCTACCTGGTGTGCCAGTTCATCCAGAGCCTTTGGGGGCACTGCTCACGTCAGACTGCAGCGTGCAGAGGGGAAGATTCGGGATTTCATGAAGTTGACGAGAACGTGCAGGGGGCGCTGCTGGTGGGCTGCAGTGCCCATGGGTGTGAATGCCGCGCGGGAAGTGGTGGTTTGTCTCACATGCTTCAATTCTTAAAGCCTTTTTACTTCACACACCACTGGCTCCCATTGTCCCAGAAGCCAAGCTCCCAAGTGAGGCCTGTAGGCCAGGCCTGGTCACCCCTGCTGGCCCCTGGCCTCCCCTGTGCCTGGCTGAGCCATGTGCAATTCCAGATACTCTCCCTCCACCCCCAGGCCAGTGCCCGCAGTGCCCACCACTCCCTGCTCCTCTCGCACACGTGGCTTTTGAGCCAGTTGCCCCGGCCAGGCTTCCGGGGCACACGCCGGCTGGGCAGCCGGCTGTCCTGTGTACTCTCACAGACGGCCAGCCCTCCCGGGCATGTCTGTGTCCCCAGCCGAGCACCGTGCCGGGTTCGGTGCAGGTGCTCCCAGAGGGCTTGAATGAGT